TGCTACAAAAATTGAGTGAACAACCATGGTTTGTGTCTTGCATGGTAGTGCAATAGGTATTAGAAGACTATTGCACATCTCTCAGCTTGTTACAGGCTTATAAAACACAGCTGAACAGCAGAAATTGGGTCTCCAGAAGATCTGAGTAAATGGCTGTCTGTGTTAGTGGGAACAGGTGAGGTTGTTGAGTATGTGGTATCTTCATTCACCAGTGCCGATGTGTTTTGGTGATATTTATTACGTAAAATTTCATTCTCTTAAACTTAGGAACATGGGTTAATAATTTAGCACCCACTGGGCCTTCCATTGGGCAAAAATCTGTAATATTTTTGTTGCAAATAATAGCCATGAAAGAACACTTAGTCTGTGAGAGCTAATGATCGTTTGGTTGCTCCACAGGCACACTACTAATCATCTGTATTTCTTTGTAGCTGGTGGAAGTGAAAGGTCCCAATGATCGCTTGTCCCATAAGCAGATGATCTGGCTGAGTGAACTGAAGAAGCTGGGTGCTGCTGTAGAAGTTTGTCACGTGCAAGCCGTTGGAGGCAAGAGTAAGCGCCTCAGTTGACAATAGAGGTCTTGATCACGGGTAACTTGTGTGTTTTGAAAGGAACTGGCACGACACTACTGGCTGCTGCTTATTAAAAGTAGTTTCTTCTAAAATTCTGGTTTCTTGGAATATTACTGTAGTTATTTTTAGCACAAAACGTTCTAAAAATAGTTTGAGAAGCCTGTCAGTATGATTTACTTTGTGTTCAGAAGAACAAAGCCTTTCTCTTCTACATGCACGTCATAACTTACTTACTCTATGAAAGGTAACCTAGGGGTTTTGCCCAGTAGAGAGAAACAGCTGCACTCAGTCACACTGGTACCAGCAGAGACCATCCTCTACAATAAAAAAACGTGGTGTGTCAAGTAAGTCCTGATCATTTCCATGTTGCTGTGTAGCGTGGGTTCATTAGGTTGCACGAGTTTCCTCACAAGGTGCAAGTTTAGCGCCTTTCCAGGACTGTCTGGATGAGTGTAGTTCTCTACCTGTCCCCACTTTGTATTATGTATTTGAGTTTTTCACTTTAATATAAAAAAATACATCTGGTCAATGATGGCATCGAGTAAGGCACAAAGCTTGTTTTTAAAATACTCTTTTAATGTGCTGCTCTGTATGAAAGGATAAATCATTTAACAGCTCCTTCTGTTGTGAATACCTATTATCTGTATAATGGGGCATACTTCTGGTTGGAGACAGGAGTTGTTCGGTGCCAGGATCACTCATTTGCAGCGTGGCATTCGTTATAGTCAGGTTTGCCCCACCTAAATTGTGTTTTCTCATTCAGAAATAAGTCAGTCAACTGAAATGGAACCAAAAGGATGAGAGAGTTCTCTTTTTAAGATGCCAAAATCCTGTGGGTTTGTCTCAATTTTAAGACATAGCCAACATCTTTTCTCTGGGGGTCTTCATTCTCGTACTGAGCAAGTTTTCCTGGTATCAGAAATTCTACTTACCATAGGAACAGCAGACGCTGTAATAGAATGTAGTGAGAAATTAAGATCATTTGCATACCCTTGTAATGAATCATCTTTCTACAGCACAGCGTTCCTGCTTTTCTTGGAAAACACACACACACACACACCCCTATTTTTTTTGTTAGAGGAAGTGAAAGAAAACTTCCTGAAGTTCACTGTGGAAAGGTATGAACTTTTATTTAGTCTAATTTACTTCAAATTCACAACTCAGCATCAGGATTTTATGATCTTCCCAGCACTGCTACTTTACTCAATAAATTGTTATCAATCAGGCACAAAGGTTTTAGTTTCAGTTTGAAATAGTGAACTCTAAACCATCACGGCAACAGCATTAGAAACCTACAGCCTAGAGCAATTTGAGGTACAGATTTCTGTCTCTTACGTTGGAGGCAAATTTAAGATTTCATCCTTTGCTTAAATATATGTTAGAATTTTTTTGGTTTTAATGTCTTTCCATCTGAGAGCAAGCCAAAACCTTTGCCCCACTTGCTACATTTTCATTAAAAATACAAGGCAGTTAATATCAAAGTGGTATTGCAGGCAGGTGCACACTGAACACACGTGCAGGCCTGGGTGTACATATACACACAAACACACACTCTTCAATGCAGTTCTGGAAGGAAACAAATTCCTCTGATACACGGCAGTAAATGGTGAATTAAGTAAGTTGTACTACCATGATCACTGAGTCTGTGAGTTCTACCTCGCAGTAATTAATGACACTGGAGGTATACTTCAACCGTATGAACCAGCATTTGTATTTCCCTCCGCGTGGTTTGTAGTGTAGTACAGATGTCATGATATAACAGCCAGTAACAGCCAAAATAGTGCACGTTTTCTAGAAACAGACAAAAAAAAGGTAAGCTGCTTGGTAATTTTTCTACACTTGCAACATCAAAATGGCATTAACAGCATCTTGTTTTAAATGGCGAACAGAAATTAAAATTTGAAAATGTGTACATATATACAAACACACATATGTATAACACCTGTATGTCAGTATTCTGTACATAGGAGTTAAAGACACACACTCACATCCCAAAATTGCTTTTGAAAGTTACTAAAGATGTCCAGAGAAGTCCCTACTGACTATTGATAAGGCAACTGTGCAGAGCAGAGAATAGTTTCAAATTAACATCTAGTACCTGTCTTTCAAAAGTAAATCAAAAAAATTACGAAGTTTAACTGAAGAGGAAGAAACAACATACACAGGCACGCATGCACACACACAGACACACAGTAGTTGTTCAGTTCCTCAGAAGGCAAGGCCCCTGCCAGCACAAGGAAGCAGAACCCTGTCTCCCTGTCCAGGGGAGCGTGGATTGCTCCTCCCCCCAGCTGCCCG